CCTATCCGAAATTACTCTATGAGTTATACACCCCAGTCATAACTCAAATAATATGCTCCAATGAAAAAGACTCTGACAAAAAAGTAAATCATTGACGGATATAGGATTTTATCTTTTTTTAGGTCGACCAAATTGACTTTCCGAGCTCTCCCAAAGCAATAAAAAAAACTATTTTTAGCAAACTTTCTGCGCCGCAGGCAAGGTTTCAAAAAAACAGGCCAAAAAGGCGTTTATAGGCACTTTTTGGAAAAATTTCTTCAAAAAATTGCGTTTTTCAGCAACGCGCTTTCCTAATAAATGTAGGTTTATATTAATAAATATAGGCGCCAAATAATTAATACAATAAATTAAACAATCAATAAATATAGGCGCCAAAGACGCCTTTGGAAAAATTTTGAGGTTCGTCCGCCAAAAATGGATATCTCAAAATAGTCCAAAGGGGCTCTTGGTCGGCAGGGAATCGAACACCTGAGGGGGAAGGCGATTTAGCAAGTGAGCAAAATAATGAAATGCTTGAAATACGGCAGTCAAAATCCGAATTGACATCGCAGATCAGATCAGTACTGTTCCAGAGTCGCAGCAGCATTACGAAAATTAAACTTGTATTATAGATCGAGCCTAGCCTTCTGTGAGCCATCCATGATCTTTGGAATCAACCGCAGTACAACTGTGCAATACTGAAGTTAGATGTCTTCCGTCAATAATTCCGGAAAATGTCAATTAAAACTTTTGGCAATTTGCGCAACAGCTATCCGCTGTGATGTTGTTCTGGTTCCAACTTTCGTAACGAGAGTAACAGAATATTTGTGGATTTTTTCTTCAGACAAATTTCGACTTTTTAACGAGCAATTTTGGACGGATTTTTTTATATCATTCAAAAGGTATTGTTGTTCTGAGCTTAAATTTAAAAAGATATTTCACCTGTGATCTTTTTTTCGTAAAGTTATGGGGGTTTAAAAATTGCCATTTTGGCCAATTTAGGACAATTGACGCGCGAATGACATTTGAAGACGTTTCGCTCAAAGGTACTTTATTTTCGCTCAATGAACTGCTACAAAAGAGATTGAATAGCAAATTGAAGGTTCGAGCCATTTTTTAAAAACAATTATTTGCAATTTTCGCTGACATTTTTTCGATCCTGTGATACCCCCATAGACCAAAAAACTAATCAAACAATTCCATGCATCAATTATATGAAAAAAACGCTACTCACTCAAGTTTCCTAAATTGTTGTCTTCATGTTTTGGCACAAAATTCGGTTTATCATCATAAAAAGTTGTGGCGAAAAAAAGCTTGTCTTACAATATCCATTTGTTAAAATTGTATGACTAACAGTTTTTTGATTGTGACACAGTGTGCATAACATAATCCTAGATAAACAAAAGTTGCATCATTTACTATTTTTCTGAACAAAATTTTGGAAACCGCTCAAAATTTGTTTGTCTTGCATAATTTTATATGCTTTGGAAAAATATGCTATCAGATTTTCAAAACAAAAAAATTAACTGGGAAAAATTTGCGCTAAAAGTTGAAAGCTTGATATTTTCATGATATTGTTTGTGAGAGACATCTATATTCAGGTCGTTTCCGGCGCATTGTACATTGAAAAACGTTAAAACTTTCGCGGCTCGAGCATTGGGTAATCAAGGTCTTTGTAATTTGTACTCAATCGATAAATTTTACAGAGAAAATTTTGTTAAAAATACATTCTAGTTTGTTGAAAAATGGTAGTCATAAAATTTTCAAAAATGAAAAATTACAACGCATAGACACTTCATGTAATGTTCTGTACTTAAAACGGAGGAACTTTGTATGAGTAGTAATTTATACAAGCAAAGAATGAATGATTACTGTTTTTGGTCAACTCGCGTTATAATTTTCCATCCGTTGTCAATTGAGCTGCATATTGAAATCGCACACTGTTTTTGGGTAAGGATTAACCACTAACCTTAATGATTCAGTTATTTGATAACTATTTCTTTATTTTAGTTTTTCATATCAATTCACGAAATGAAAAAGAACTATGGCGTAGAGTGTAATTTACGGCCAATTTTGAATACCTCAAAAAGCGGTCGATTTTGAACAACTCAAAAAGCGGTTGCGCGTCAAAGCTGATAACATTTTTTAAAAGCCCTTGAGTCGTTGTTCAGATTTCAGTTGTATCAAATTCCAGACAAATTGGCCTAAATTTCGGTCTTTTAGGCAGCAAAGAGTGCATATTTTGTCAAATTCTTCATTTTCCTTAAGTAACTTTTTCCAATTTTTTTGACAAAAATTGTGTTTTTGTTTCGACCACAGAAAATGGGGAGGAACTTTGTTTTTGAATACTTTTTGTTTTCTAGGCAAAATCAGCTACCACAAAGATTCATTGGATTGAGTTGAATGATATATATTTTTAAAAATCTTTCAGTTGAACAAATTTGAAAAATTTCCAAAAAATTTCTCAATGTCGAGAAAAAACCGATTTGAAATTTTTGATATTTTTGTCTAATGTTTAGCAAATGAGACTGTTTTTTTTTTGTTTTTCAACCAACGCCTCAAATAAAAACAATAATGATTTGAAAACAAGCTTATGTAATTTTTAAAGTATGGTCGGAGCATTCTGTGATACCTGCTCGGCAGCAAGCTATCTTTATTGATGTTTTGAATTGTTTTTCAGTAGACTCAATAGTAGAATGAACAAAAAAGCTAAAAAAAACTTAACTTTTTCTTCAAAAATTTTGATGTAGTTGTTTTATAGTCAACAGAAGGGGAAGCCTAAGCCAAAGATTACTTATATAAGTTGACAAGAGCTCATATAATCAGCGCTCATTATTACTGAATTACTCGTAAAAGCTCACCTTGCAAACTATGGCGCATGTGCAATTTCAACCTGCAATGGTAGCTGCAATGATCATTGAGGTTGGAGCATTCTGTGCTACTCTCACACTGAACGTTAACTAGAAAAATTTGCTCTTTTTCCTCTTTTCCAGGCCTGAGAGTTTTTATTTTAAAAAGTTTTGTTCACACTGTCCGATTGCTACAACTTGGCATGATTACTGATTAGCTTATGACAAACATATTTGGTATTTATACTCAACCTTGTTGAACCCCTGGTTACCCATAAAACGAGTCGATCACAGACATAATTATATTAAAGTGAGCCCCTTACGTAGCCCAACAAACTTTAACAAGGGTATATTCTCCAAAAAAATTTGTGCAAACCTTTCAAAAATCGTTACCTTCCTAAAAATTGGTGGCGCAAATGGCCCCTAGCACATTTGCCCTACTTTTCAACCAGACCTGATGTTTGAAATATTCAGGACGAAAAGGGCGATGTGCATTATACAGTGCTGATTTAAATTAACCGGACAAAACGCGTTAAACTTGAATATAAAACCCGTTTTTCTCAAATTGGGTTGAGTTTATGCGAAAACTTATAGAGACAAAACTTGCTTAAGACTTCAGCAGAATTAATATGGTGTTAATTTAAAAACCGTTTTAATTAAAAAGTTGGTATTTTATATAGGTAAAACGACCTTTTTTTGTCTATCAAACAAAAATAAAATAAACTATACAATGTTTTGGAGAATATACCCTTCTTAAAGTTTGTTGGGCTACATACGGGGCTCACTTTGATATAATTATGTCTGTGATCGACTAGTTATTTTGGGCGTAATTTTTGATTAATTAAGAAAAGCCAAAATGCAAAACAAATACCCCATATTAATTCTGCTGAAGTCTTAAGCAAGTTTTGTCTCCATAAGTTTTCACATAAATTCAACCCAATTTGAGAAAAACGGGTTTTAAATTTCAAGTTTAACGTGTTTTGTCCGGTTAATTTAAATCAGCACTGTATAATGCACATCGCCCTTTTCGTCCTGAATATTTCAAACATCAGGTCTCGTTGAAAAGTAGGGCAAATGTGCTAGGGGCCATTTGCGCCACCAATTTTTAGGAAGGTAAACTTTGCAAGACGAAAATAAGACAAATTTGTTAATTTTTCAACATGCGATATTTCATTTTAATTATATTGCAGTTGTGTATATTGGAAGAGCATCGTGGTGAGGGTCAAGTTAGACGCCTTACGTATAGTTCAAAATAACGTGAAATGAGCCAAACAGCATCACATTGATATACTTTTAGTTCTTTGGTTCTATTAAGTATCCGAACCACAAAAAAAACCTGAAAACTTGACGTTATCCAGAAAAACTGGATTCTTTATCAATCTAATATACAGCACGCAGAGCTGACTGCCTAATAAAACTTTCTTATAGACTCTTTTTCCTTTTCGCATTGTCTGATTATTGTATAATTGGCATGCAGACTAATTAGGCCTTGCACGTTAAACCCTAAAACTGATGCTTATGTGAGGTGGGGAGACAGGAAAAAGAGCCTTTTTGTATACCCTTCAAACTGGGGCGGATTTAGGGGGGAAAGCGAAAGGGCGCACGCGGGTTCGACCCTCTTACCAGCCAAAAGTTCCCCCCAATGCCTTATCTTATGACAACTTTTCAAAAGGCGCCTTTGGGTCAAAATAAAATAATTTCCAAGGGGAGTGCGCGCCAAAAAAAAACATTTTTTTTTGGTGAAAAAAAAACTTCTAAAAAGTGCTCAAAAAAGCTAAAACTTTTGTGAAAATTGGGTTTTTATAGTGTTCTCGTAAAGTCAATTTGGTCGATCAAAAAAATTTTGGCAAAGTTTTTTGATTTTTTTTTTCAAAAATCCGCCCCCGCCCCACCCCTCCATAGCATATATGTGAGCACCTTCAGGAAAATTTCAGTGCTGGTACGCTTAAAGGGATGCCAGTGCTGTAATTTTTATATGCTTAAATTTATTCAAGTGTTTTTAAATTCAAAAAAATAGTTGCTTGTCTGTTTTTCAGTTTTCAGTAGCCGGGCCCAATTTTTCTGGCAGAAGTTATGCTTTGACGACAAAAAATTCTTTTAATCAAAGTGTATCTTTTAATGAGTTTACAAAAGGGAAAAAGCGTTAGCGCAATAATATAAATTAATACCAACCTGGATACGTTGGAAACTGCAGACATTGGGGCGGTGCTTCTGCTTTTGCTTCAGATTTGTTTATTTTTCTGAGCTGCCAAGTTCTTCACACTGCAGCTTCAATTCAGCTCCATGGTTTTATACAGATGTTTAAAGTAAACTCCGGTTTATGACTGAAATTTTTATTCTTTTCTAGTCATAATTTTTTTTCTTTTGCAACAATAAGTTTGACGAAAACGGGAACCAAGCTTTATTTGATTGAATTTTAATAAAAACAAAGTATATATTTTTTTCAGCTTTCGCTTTTAATCTGACCTCAATTCTACTTAATATTTTTTTGCGATCAGCGGTTTTTTATTGGTCCAAACAGTGTACTAGAATGAAAGAACAGCTCAATAAATTAGATGCTGGGATTTTTTTCCCAAATTCAAAGTAAAAGAAGCAGGAAATATCTAACAAGGCGCATTGATGATAGGTCGAAATTATTACTTGAACGAAAAAAACTAACTATTCAGCAATCTGATATGTCAAAGCATCAAAAAAGACGTAAAGTGGATGTATGGTATAACGATGGTTCTTCTCTATTAAAGCCTGCTCCCCATAATAAAAAAATTTTACTGTAAGTTAAGTTATTACGTTAGGACGCTAAAATGAAAAAAAAAATTATTTTTTTTTTAAAATAAAAACAGTCGTTTTGGGCTATAACTAGGAAGATGTAGTAGCTCTGCATATAAGAAAAAATCGATTGAACCGTATAAAGTTAACCCAGGCGTAGGATTTCAAAAACAATAAGCAACACAAAAACAACGGCTCAATCTCGAAAAAGTTTTGAATTTTTTTTATATCACTGAAAAATTTCAGCGATTCTGATGCCAAATGTTGCATGATAAACGATATTACCTTCGGTTATCATTTTTGTATCTTTTGAGCTCAAGTTTGAAGTAGTTGATCAATATTTTGATCAAAAAAGTGCCGAAATTTTTAATTGTTGAAATCAAATTGAAATATTGGTAATGTTTCATAAATTCGTTTTCAATTCATCGATCACAACAATTGACAAAAACCCCACTGCAGCCGATACAAATAGCCATTTTTAGGAAACGAAGGCACGCCGAAAAAACGTGAATTTTGTTTCGAACTTTTGAAAGGGCTCCCAAAATGTCTGTGTGCAGACTTTTTTGGACAATAAAATTTTTATAGAAGATTTGAGGAGTTCGGTAAATTACACACTGATAAATTTCTGACCATGAGCGGGACATTTTTGAGCGTGAGACATTTCTGAGCGTTATCTAAATCGGCTTACCTGCCTCAATAACCCCGATATATTTTCTAAATATGGTTAAATCGCCCCTTGCACTACTCGTTATATAAATAAAAAAAAAGACTATCCTCAAATGCTCTAAATGGCAATTAAAACCTCAATAATTTTACTAAAAACAGTTGCGGATACATTTTTTTAGAATTTAAGCTCACTGTAATAATATATTTCAGACCTTATGGATAAATTTCAGACAAAACTTTTAACAGCAACGTCAAAATTTGCCCAATTGGAAAAATCACCTCAAGCATATTTATCAACAAAAAGGAAAATTAGGAAAGCAAAAAAAAACAGGACTAACCTGTGGATGTTTCTACAAGGGTTTAACGCGTCTGACATCGCTTTTAAAGAAAAAAGATGTATATTTTTTCAAAAAATTGAAAAAAATCCCATCTGCGAACCGCCTACTAATACTGAGTTGTTCTAAAGGTATTCACCTTTATAATTTAAAATTTTCAATTGTAGTTGATATAATGATCTAATGCTTATACTAAATTACTTACTAGATTCGGAATAACTTATTAACAAGCACTTCAACAATGGGCATGCATGCCCGCTACATGGGTTTTTGGTCAAACTCTGACATTTGTTGAACCACTTTAACAGACAATTAGTTTACCATATAAGCAACTGTTTTAAAGTTATTTCATACTTACTTGCCAACACCAAAATAACTATTAAGCCTCAAAAAATCTTTGAATTTTTTTTTGTATAACTTGAAAGCAAATTCAGCCATATGTTGCTGGATAGGTTTATCCTTGTTGTATTCGGTTATCTTTGTTGACTTTCTTCAGCACAGATTTGAAGTATTTGATCTAGTCTTTTATCAGAAAAAAAGATGAATTCTTAAATTGTTACAATTAGATTGAAATATCGAGAATGTTTTAACATCCAATTTTGATTCATCCATCCCGAAACTTAAAAAAATACCACGGGAGCCAATACAAACCCCATTTTTTAGAGACAGGAGAGTGTGCCGAAAAAATCGTGACTGTTGTCTTTTGGTTCAAAGTTTTTCAAAAAATTCCCAAATGTCTGTGTCGAATTAAACAATCTGAAGAAACAAGTGAACAAAAATACGGCATTGCTCACACTCTATGTAAAACACAAAGTGATTCATTTTTGATCATAAGCGGGTCGTTTTTGAGCATGAAACAATTCCGAGCGCTATCTAAATTCTAAATTGGTTTGCTCGCCTCAATCGCTTTGCTATTTTTTCTCAACAAGGTTAATTTGCCCCTTCCATTACTCGTTATTATAATTTAAGTGCAAAAAACTTTATTTAACAAAAAATTAGCGAGCAAAATTAGACTCCGAAAATAGCCAAACTTGTTATTGGTAACATAGGCGAGAAATTGGTAACATCAGATTGGTACTCTGATTGAGAAAAACTCTGATTGTTTTTGAGAAAAGACTTCAATTTTGAGTCTTCAATCCCAAACGGTTAATACAAAAGCAACTGAAGTTGAATTCAAATTGATTTAAAAGACTGAAGCCAATCTTGTTAGCTTTCATCTTTTCAATTTTCTTATCAAACAAATTTGGAAAAACAAGAACAACTACAAAAAATTGCCAACCTTTTCAGCAACCCGTGTTGTGCTCGCAATCAAATTCAGTCTATGATGACTAACTTATCTATTATTACTTTTGCCCATCAAAAGATGAACCCATCTACATTGAAGTTTCGCTCAAATTAATTCAAAAATTGCTGATTTTACCATTTAATTAAAAATCATCAAAAGATGAAACCATCTTCATTGAAGGTTTGTTCCAATTAATGGGTATATGATCTAAATTACGTGGAAGTTTCTCAAAAGATGAACCCATCTCCCAGGAAGCTTTACTCAAATTATTTCATAAATTGATCTAAAGAAACATTTTTATGTAAAAATTATCTATTCAAATTTAAGCGCCAAAATATATATCGAAAAACTTTTTGGAGTCTTAGCATTTTTATTCCTTTTTCGAATGAAGATAATTTGTTAGTGATGAAATCCAGCAATCAAAATTTTATTTACAAGTTTCAAAAGAATCAGAAGATTTTTCTTGTTGTTCTCTATTTTTTTGATCATTCAATTGATTTGTCCCTACCATCATTCCTTTCAAAGCAATTCCTGGAGTGCTTTTTTCTAAAATATCTAATAAGAAGATTAGGATCTAACCATATACAAACCAACAACCCTCAACCAAGTTTTGCCATCATCTTACCACTTACTTTTACCGAGTTATTCTAAAGGTTCTCAAAGTCTTAATATTCACTCCTAAATAATTAGAAACTCCAACAGTAGAATAGGCATGCATGCACGCACCATGGGTTTTGGTCGAAATCTGAAATTTGTTGAATCACTTTAACCTCTATTCAGTTTACCATATACGCAACCGTTTAGAAGTAACCCAGGGTATAGATTTCAAAAACACTAAGCAACATCAAAACAACTGATCAGCCTCGCAAAAATTTTGAAGTATTTTTTGTACACTTGAAAGAAACTTCAACATTTCTGATAGCATATGTTGATGGATAGTCGACATTACCCTCGGGATAAAATTTGAAGATGATTTTTTTATTCCTAAAAAAAGATTGAAAAATTGGTCATATATTATAAAAACCAATTTTGATTCTTCAATCCCAAAACTTCCCAAAAGCACCACTCGAGCCGATACAAATCGTTTTTGAGAAAAGTGATTGCGCCAAAAAACGTGAATTTTTTGGTAGAACTCATAGGGAGTTCGGAAAACCAAAACTGCCCACACTTTATGTGAAGTACAAAGTGATACATTTCTGATCATTAGCGAGACATTTCTGAGCGTGTGGCTATTCTGAGCGTTATCTAAACCGGCTTACTTGTTTGAAGCACCTTGAAATATTTTGAAAACATGGTTAACTCGCCCCTTGCACTTCTAGTTAAAATATTTAAGTACAAAAAATTATGCCAAACCCCAAATCTTCAAACCCCAAATCTCCTACTAAAAATAGTTGCGGCTGATTCTTTTTTTATTTCAAGCTCAATGCATAGAAATATTTCAGACCTGTTGTTTAAACCTTCCTTCCAAAAATGTCAACTGCAAAATCAAAGCTTGTGTTTTTGACCAGAGCATATTTATCAATAGAAGTCAGAAAAGTCAAGAAAGCAACATGCTTGTAACAGGACGAATTCTTGGATGTTTAGAAGGAATTAAACGCGTCTGACATCGTTTTTATCGAAAAAAAAATTTATTTCAAATATAAAGTAAAAAAAACTTTCAGTTTTTTAAGATTTCCTATACTGAATTCCTTTTACAAGTGATTAACTTTGCACCAATTAACATAGTATTTGAATCGATTAACTAACCTCGTTTCTTTTTGAAAATAATTCTGAGCATTATGAGCACTGGATAGGCGAAAAATTTCAAGTTCCTGGATTCCAGAGATAAGTCTTTAAACACGTTCTGAAAAGTAAGTGGATTCCATTTACAAAATTTCCTTGGATTCCGGGTACAATTATCTGCAACGTAAGTTTTGTCGGCACAAAAACCTTGATGAGGATTCCTCATTGAGCAGACATAAGTATCTGTTCCGAATTCCAAAGTTGTATGAAAATTCCTTAAATGTAAGTGGATTCCACAAATTTATGCGGAATCCGCTGACACTTTGCGGTTTTCACTTACAGTTGCTGATTCCACGACAGCTTAGTTTTACTAAACACGTATACTATTATTTGTTTCTGGATTCCACAAACTGTTCCGTATTCCGCAAATGCCTGTTTTTTGCGCGTTTTTGACCATTTTAAGGTTTCAATTATTTGGCCGTGGAGTCCAAAACAGCAAAAAAGATCAAAAAGTAGCAATATTGCAAATTCCGCTTCATTTTTGGATTTTG